GGCCAGGTTGTTGGGCACCAGGAGGTCAGGCTGGAGATCAGCGAGGAGGAAGGGGTTTGGAGGCTCAGGGGGCGCAGGGGGGGCATGGGTGTGTTGCAGCCTCAGGGAGTCCCTGTGCCTCAGGCCCAGCAGGGTCACAGGCTGTGATGCCCTAGCACAACCCTGGCTCTGGCAGGAGAGGGGGGAGGGCTGATCCGTGCCCACCCTGGGGGCAGGCAGGGGCCGTCTCCTCCGTTGTCAGCCTGTGGGTGCTGCTTCTCTCATGTCCGTCTTGTCCAAGCGTGCTGTGTGGGTGCGCTCAGGGTGGCTGTCTCTGGCTGTATTGAGGTTGTGCCAGTGTCGCTGACACCGGTTTCTTCCCTAGTGCCAGTTCTGAGGGGCGTGGGGAGTCCTTACTGGGTGCCTGATGCCTGTCTCGCTCTCTCTTGCGGTGCCAGTCCAGGGGTCACGGCCAGGGAAGAATGTGCAGCTGACGGAGAACGAGATCCGAGGGCTGTGCCTTAAATCACGGGAGATCTTCCTCAGCCAGCCCATCCTGCTGGAGCTGGAGGCGCCCCTCAAGATCTGTGGTGAGCGCTAGCTGGGCAGCGCGCCGGCCGGGCACCCTGGCATGCGGCTGGGAGAGCCCCTGAGGGACGCTGCGGGGGGAGGTTTGGGATGCCGTGGCAAGCTGGGAGTCCCAGTGACACCCCTGTGCTCCCCAGGGGACGTGCATGGGCAATACTAGGGCCAGCTGCAGGGTGCCTTGGGGGGCTATGGGTCGCATTGACACCCCCTTCCCCCAGGGGACATCCACGGGCAGTACTATGACCTGCTGCGGCTCTTCGAGTACGGGGGCTTCCCCCCCGAGAGCAACTACTTGTTCCTGGGGGACTATGTGGACCGAGGCAAGCAGTCGCTGGAGACCATCTGCCTCCTGCTTGCGTACAAGATCAAGTACCCCGAGAACTTCTTCCTGCTGCGTGGCAACCACGAGTGTGCCAGCATCAACCGCATCTACGGCTTCTATGATGAGTGTGAGTGCTTCTGCCAGAGCCGTGTCGCTCGTGCCATCCCTGTGTGCCCCAGCATCAGCCGCATCTATGGCTCCTGTGACGGGCATGAGTGCTGGTGCCACCCTCATGCCCACGTACCACCCAGCATCAACCACGCTGACTGCTTCTCTGCCGAGGGGGAATGCCCTACGCCTGTCCCTGCACCCCCTTTGTACCCCTGTGCCAGCCACCCCTAGCAGAGGCCACAAAGGGCCGTGTGCCCCAGGACACCCCCTGCATGAGCCAGTGCCAGCCCATGTCGTTGGCCCCTGCAGTCACAGCTGTGCCTAGGGCCCACAGGCACCCATGCAGCTCTGGATGTGTCACCTGGCACGTGTGCCCACCCAACCAGCCCTGTGGCTGTGCCGAGGGCAGCGCCAGGCCGGGGGCAGCCCCGGACACCCCCTTGTACCCCTGGGTGGCAGCGCGAGGCAGCCATGCCCACCTGCCTTGCAGGCAAGCGGCGGTACAACATCAAGCTCTGGAAGACCTTCACCGACTGTTTCAACTGCTTGCCCATTGCTGCCATCGTGGACGAGAAGATCTTCTGTTGCCATGGAGGTGGGCATGGGGGACAAACCCAGGCCCTGCCAGGGGCTGGGAGACACGGACCTGGGCTTGGGGGAAAGGGCCACCAGGGGCTGGAGGGGGCAACAGGCACTGCACTGGGCACAGCCCTGCTGGGGGACTTTGGGGCACAGGGACACAACCCCATGGGCAGTGTCAGGGGTCAGAGGCCGTGAGGGTGCCCTTGTTGGGGGGGCCTGTTGTCCAGGAGGCAGGGCCTGATGCTGCCGCACCCCCCACAGGGCTGTCCCCCGACCTGCAGTCCATGGAGCAGATCCGGCGGATCATGCGTCCCACGGACGTGCCGGACCAGGGCCTGCTCTGCGACCTGCTCTGGTCTGACCCTGACAAGGATGTGCAGGGCTGGGGTGAGAACGACCGCGGCGTCTCCTTCACCTTCGGGGCAGAGGTGGTGGCGAAATTCTTGCACAAGCACGACCTGGACCTCATCTGCAGGGCACACCAGGTACCAGTGGCATCTGGGTCCTCTGGGCAGGGGGTTGTGCCCTGGGCGGGTATTTGGGTCTCTGAGGCAGGTGTTTGTGCACCTGGCGTTTGCCCCCCAAGGGCAGCATTTGCTCTAGGGTATGCCTAGTCTCTACAGGCAGGGCTCCCAAGGAGGTGTTTGCCCTCAGAGGGGAACGCTTGCCCCAGCGGGTGTTTGGGCTTTATGTGGGTGTTTGCCCCCATGGAGTGGTATTTGCCGTGGGGAGGTTGCCTGGACAGTAGGTGGGCAGGATCCCGGCGGGTATTTGCCCCACGAGGTGGTTATTTGCCTCAAGGGGTGTCTGGCTGAGTGCCAGCTCTGATGCCTGTGCCAGGTGGTGGAGGATGGCTACGAGTTTTTCGCCAAGCGCCAGCTTG